CGATGATCAGATTAAAATTTTTGGATGAAATGGACGAAAAACATAATTTTTGTGTGTTTTCGAGTAGAGTATAATCCGAAAATCACAACACAACCCACCGTGAAGGTAATCTGGACAAGTAATTAGAAGGACTGTACTGAATATTCGAAAAAAGTAAGAAAGAGGTGTTGTTAACCTCTAATCGGACAAGAGGGGGCAAATATCACGAAATATTACTCAGACTCGGAATAAACATCCTCAGAAAGTTAGAGTTCGTGGTAGTTGTGTAGGGTATCGTATGGTCGGCCCCGTCCGACTATACTGCTCCGCTCACTGGTTTATAATATAGTGGAGAGGTGGGCACCTTTGAACACTTTTTTTCAAGCCTCATAAAAATAATATTTTATAATTGTTCGTTTCTTATAAGTTTTAACTAATAGCTACATATGTAACCTTTAAAATGAATATACTTATGACATACTTTAAGCTTGATATACATATTTTATTACTGTTTTAATGAAGGAAGTCAAAGTGTTCAAAACTGATTCTGATCAAAATTTATTAAAATATAAAATGACATAAAAACAAAAATGTATATGGTGAAAAATACAGCTAATTTCGTAATTTTATTAGCCCATTTGAAATTTTTGAGAAATCGAAGCCATAAGTTAAAAACTCCGTTTTTTAATGGAGTTTACTGGGTATGTTCAAAGGTGCCCCACCTGTGGTATTTTACGGCAATTTATAATAACGTTTTTTGTAGGAAATATATATGAAAGAAAATATATTAGTTATGTTTGAAATAATTGTTGGAATGTAAAAAAAAATATTTAACGAAAGAAAAATATCACTGAATTCTTCCTGCGCCCTTACAACCAAAAAATTAAAGGTTTACAATTGCAGTGCGAAAACATAGTCACCCATGTACATTTTGTGGACAGCTGAAAAAGCTAGCCAAAATGGTTTACGCAGATAAAGAACAAGATTGGCATATAAAAAAATTTCGTTGCGGGTCGGAAAAATTCTTAGCCGAGATTTTAAGAGCGCTGTTCAAAAGTGCCCCACGTTCAAAGGTGCCCCCTCTCCCCTATATATTCTTGGAAATAACTGTATACGGTAATAATATTCAAATAAATGACGTTTACTACGTATTACATTGTATACAAGAAACCGAAGTTTTCGACGTTTACAACCTTTTGACAGTCGATCACACGCATCATCCCTGCATATATATTTTCGTCCAATTTTGTATAAACGGTGCACCAAAGTTCCTATATATATGATCATTCAAAATGCCTGAAATCGATGGTTATCTTAATGTCAGAAATCTTCAAAACAATAAAAATTTGGGTTGTCGTAATATGAGATCTATACCAAAACTTGGGCTGGTATTGATAATTATTGGTAGGAAGATTTGAGACCTAATGAAAACCGAAAATATCAAATTAGATCCAATTTCGCTGAACGTCGGAGAACGATATTCTATGATATTGGAGATATTTGCAAACCTATGAGAATCCAATTTAAAAATCCAATTGAGAGGTACCGCTATGATTGAGCTAAACTCAAATTGACCAATATTTATGCGTTTTAGTAGAAAGATATACTACCAAATAATATCCAGAAATACATAATTATAGACAATATGGTGTATATACATGCCAATAATCCTCAAAATGCAGAATATTGCGTGATTTCGTTAAATGACAAAACATGGACAGATAACTCCGAACACTATCTTGATTTATTTTTCAACACCAAAAAGTGGACATATACCGACATTTCTGCAAACCCATGGCTAATGAGGGTGTATACCCACTGACACGGTGAAAATTTGCTTCATCGAAATATTTGTTCTGGACCCAATGTTTCTTTGGACCAAATCGGTATAAGAACATTTTGATGTCATCCTAACTATGCTCATCTTATTACTTCTTCCAAACTTAGTACAACTTCGACGATGGGAAATATGGATTCACTCCTTCTGGTACCTCCCACACAGGGTCTAGGCCTAAATGGGTTATAGTTCATATATAGTTCATTATTGAACCTCACGTTCTAAATTTTATCTCGATACAATAGAGCCTTAGAACCAAACCCAAAACGTGGAACAAATCAGATAAATATTTTAATGTAAATAAACCAGTAAGGAAAGTAGTAAAGTCGGACTGGGCCGACTATATGATACACTTCACCACTTTGGGTATATTCTACATATGTATCCGAAAAGACGTCGCCTTTTTGAAGGAATTTTGACATGAATTTGAACGAACTTAAATATGAGATTTTTATGTCTTTCTGGAACCTATGATAAATTTCAATTCATTTGGGCATGTTTAGAGTCGTTTGCGCACAGTGGGACAGATTTAATTAAATCGATTTAAATTAAACTTGACACACGCTATTCGGTATGCTGCACTGTTTAAAATTTAATCTCAACCAGACACCCATTGAGTATTTGGTGTACAATTAACATAAATAAGTCGAAACTATATATGGAAGCTACGATATATCTATATCTGAAGCGATTTCAAGCAAACTTGCCAAATATTAATCTATATTAACTTCAGTACGTTGTGTCAATCGGCCTAGCTATGGATCTTTAGTACACAATTTACTTAAAATCGGACGAAAATATATAAGGAGTTGTACACATCATTCTACACTTAATTCCTTATTTGCCTTATTTCGAAAGGATATACAGGATATCGAAGGATATACAGGGACTTTGGTGCACCATTTACCTAAAATCGGGCGAAACTATATATGGGAACTATATCTAAATCTCAACCGATTTTCACGAAACTTAGCACACATCATTCTAGAAATCGAAAGATATATAGGGACTTTCGTACACCATTTACCTAAAATCGGGCGAAACTATATATGGGAGCTATATCTAAATCTAAACCGATGTTCACGAAACTTAGCACACATCACTCTAGACCTAATTCAGTAGGCTATATCAAATTTCGTGCAAATCGAAAGATATATAGGGACTTTGGTGCACCATTTACCTAAAATCGGACGAAACTATATATGGGAGTTATATCTTAATAGGAACTGAATATCACGAAACTTAGCGCACGTCATTCTAGACTTAATTCAATACGCTATGCCAAAATTCGTGCAAATCAAGTAATTTTTGAGGGACTTTGGTGCATCGTTTACCTTAAATCGGACGAAAATATATATGGGAGCTATATCTAAATCTGAACCGATTTTTCCCAATTTCAATAGCGTTTGTCCTTGTGACAAATAAATGAGCTGTGTCAAATTTCATCCAAATCGGATTATAAATGCGACCTGTACTTTGTTTTCAATTTAACATCAACAGACGGACGGACAGACAGACGGACGCACATGTATAAATCGACTCAGAAAGTGATTATTCTATGCATATTCTCAAAAGGAACCATGGGTCTATATCGATTCCTTTTGCCTGTTACAAACATATGCACAAAGACATAATACCCTGTACCAAAATACTAAATTACAGGCAATTCATTGGAAAAATACGATCAAAACCCCCAAAAATACTGAAAATTAGGAGGTACCGTTATATGGGGGCTTCCAGAAAAAGTGGACCTATATTTTTAGTTTGTTACTCAATGTACTAAATTTCAGCGTATTCGGTTTAAAAAACGCGCTCAAGAACCCCAAAATACCGAAAATTGTGGGGTACTGTTATATGGGAGCTATGCCTAAACGTGGACCGATAAAGCCCATCTTCGAACTTGACCTGCCTGCAGGCAAACCTATGCAAAATTCCAGCACCCTATCTTAATTCGTTTAGACGCTAGAGTTATTACAACAGACGGACGGACTTGGCCAAATCGTCTTAGAATTTTACCTTGATCAAGAATATATATACTTTATAGGGTCGGAAATGAATATTTCGATACTATGGTGGAAGGTATAATAAATAGCAATACCAACTACAACGTTATGTGCTTTCGTCACAAAGTGACGACACATAGCAGTTGCAAATGTATTGTAGTTGTCTGCAATTGATTTGTAGCCACGAAGTCACGCACCAACGACCCTTTCATTGAGGTGGTATCGCTGGTAACGTAAGTACTTCGATTTGTTACATGAGATATTTAGGTATGAAAAGTTGTTTTTAAACGAAGCAATAAATAGCTTCTGGGGAAAAAATCACAAAAAAATAAGGGAAATGATGAGGATCAGTGGCGAGATCCGAAGTATTCCCTGCCTTACGCCTCAGCGGACAATGTCATACATTCCCCACAAATAAATAGTTGTTTTTTTTTTATAAAAACAACTAACTGGGATTAAATATTTATATTAATGTTTTAAACTAGACCCCGACAACATCGTATTTAAAGGACAACAACTGCAATTTCATATATAACTTTTCCGATTATTTATATTTATTAGTTGGTCATTTTTTCACACAGACATCTTGGTTCATGTGGCCCTTTTTATGGCGTACTCATTGGCTAGATACCCTTGCTCATATAAAATGCCACAAAATTATAACTGAAAAAAAAGAAAACAAATTAAAATTTCTGAAGTCCAATCGGGTCAAACTTTTTGTACCCTTTTTCCATAAAGTGGTCATTCAAAAAATGATCTGTCCGGATATTTCTATTGACTCTATTTCTTTAAAGTGTTTGGTCCATTAGATGCCCTAAATTTTTACCTACTCATGGTAATAGCTTATGGCCTCTACTTTGACAAACGGATATAATTAGATAGATTCACCTAATTCGGTCTAGAATTATACGCATAGTGAACATATATGTGTAGGGTACAACAAATGTAATCTGAAATATTTATTTGAAAAAAAAGTAAAATCAAAGAACAAGGAAAAAACATAATGCTATTAATTGAACGCTAAAAGGAAATGCATTTGATATCATTAATGCCATAATGATTTCCATTAAGCAGCCATAGCGTATCAGAAAGAAATTATTTGGCTACACATAAATAAAATTTCACTTTAAATTTTCCTTACAGTTTATCGACAACCTTTATTTAGGCAGCATTTTCTAAACATGATATTTTTCAAAATTCTAATCTTTCTGCTATTCATTCAATCCATCAAACCCAATAATGTAATAATTAGAAAATTACAAAACGAGGACGTGCATAAGCATGAAATAAGATTTCAATTAAAACAACTATTCTACAAAGTGGATCGAGAGAATCGATTTGATAACTGTATTCTCATTGGACGTGAATTTACCATTAAGGATGTATTGGTTCCTGAAGTCTTACAGAAAAATATGGGAAAGTCGGTGCTAATTCAAACCTTCGTACGTCAATTTTGTAATGGCTGCCTTAAATTGAATAAAAACTTTTTGATTTTCATCTATTGGCAATATGGGGATGAGGACAGATATGTTAGCTTTTTATCGCGGGTTTTACAATATAAGCTACAAAATCGCATTATTCTATTGGCGGAACATATGTCTCAGGCTTTTGCCAGCATCGTTGTGTGGCACATGTTTAAGGCATGCTCCAAACAGAAAATAATTAATGTCATCGTTTTGCTGGGAAATTTCTATGAAGATCCAGTATTCTACGCATTCGAAATGTTTCCTGAATTCGAAGTGGTTACGAAAAGCTTTGGTCATGATGTTGGCAACAATGTTGAATTCTTTCCCAATAAAATGGCAAATTTGTATGGTCATAAAATTCGAACATATCCCGATCAAATGATACCTCGATCAGCTTTACATCGCAATCAATATGGGCAGGTTGTAATGAAGGGTTATGTGGTGAGTTTTCTCGAAGCATTTGCCCAGCAAATCAACGGCTCCCTGTCATGGCCTCTGTTCCTGCAGGAGGATAAACCGGTATTCTATCAAAACATATTCGATTTGGCCCAAGCTGATCGCTTCGATATACCAGCAGCATTGGTTCCAGCACTCCACGCTAATAGTTCAAGGATAATGTCTCACTCGTATGAAGTCAGACCCTGGTGTATTATGGTGCCGATCGAGAAGCCGCATAGCTATAAGGAATTTATATACCGTTCGATGAATCTACATTTTTTTCTAAGTTTCATATTATTGATGTTGGTGTTGTCTATTATCCTAGAGCTGGGTATGAAAATTTTACATTTGCAAAGAAACGAACAATACTCAATTACTTTGGATAAACTTATTCTGAATACCAAAGTGTTTAGGGGAATATTTGGCTGGTCGTTTAAACTACAACCCCAAGCAACGAAAAGTTTAAAAATATTATATACCGTACTATTTGTACGAGGTCTACTTGTCACCGTGCAATTTTCAGCAATTCTGCAATCCTTTCTCACACATCCTCTTACGGTACCAATCACAAATTTCCAAGAACTTCGGGCCGCCAATTTAAAAGTTGTGATCTTCAAAAATGATTTGGACTTCATTAAACAGAGTCGCGGATACAACTATAAACGCTTTCTGCCCGGACTGGAAATTTACTCTGACTATGAGAAATATCGGCGTCTACATTCCTCATTCAACACCTCCTACGCCTATCCAGTCCATTATGCGCAATGGTATATTTACAGTACCCAGCAGAGGAGTTTCTCAAAGCCATTGTTTCGTTTGAGCAGAATGTGTCTGCCCAATATGGGCATTACGGGCTTTGTATTGCCTCAGAATTCGTTGTACCTACAACCGTTAAATAAATTCATTATTCGAGCCAATGAATTTGGTTTCAACGAATATTGGCTACGTCTCAGTTATATTGAATTGAAAAGAATTGGTAAAATTAAAAATATAGAAAATGTCAATACGGATGCAGGTCATCGCACAATGGGCATCGACGAATTCATTTTTATATGGCAAATAATGGTAGCATGTTATATTTGTGCATTTCTGTTGCTTCTATTGGAAATTATTTATTCGAAAATTTATTGTAAAATTGAAATTCGTTTTCGATAGAGAGGAAGCTGAAAATAATTGTATATGAAATAAGGTTGCAACGTAATACTGTAATACTTTTTTTTTTTTTTCATAAAATTTACTTGCATTGATGTGCTTCATTGTTTTAAATAATTGTTAAAAAATGATTGCTTATAATATAACAAATATTGTATACCAAATATAATAAACGGCAATTATGTGGAATTTATATATTAGATCCTAATCATTCACCGGATATCATTTATTATAACTCCTATCATGGGAGGCCAACAAAATATATATACAATTTTAAACACCGTTAATTGTGACAGGGCCGAACACTTCGTAATTCCTTAAATATTTAGGTGATTACTATGTATTCTCTGAAAATTCAAAAAAGGGCTGGGAACTTCAAATTGGTGAACATCATCCATGGACTTTTATCTGAACATTTTTATTGACACAACTATGTTGTCAGGGTATTAGAGCGTTGTGCAGTCCCAAGAGTTTGTAACGCCGCGAAATATTGGTCCTAGACCAACCATTAAGTATACCGATCGTCATATCTCGACTAGCTGAGTCGATCTAGACATGTGTGTCCGTCCGTCCGTCTGTCCAATATAATTTGTAAACATGATACAGGCCACAGTTATAGACCAATCATCATGAAATTTTGCATGTAGAATGGGTTCGGCCCAATGAATACCCCTATTGTTTTTGGTAAAGATGGTTAATATTTAGGGAATGAAATGGACCAAATACTTATTTTTTCGGGTTTTCTGGTCGTTCCAGAGGCCGCAATTATGGTCCAAACATCTCGAATTTCAAATGGACCCTGACTTTTGTGTGAAAAATGACAAAATTTGTATTCTATAGCGTATATATTTACTCCTGAAGGACATAGGGCCGAGAAGTTGGTGGTGTGTTCAAGAAGAGTGGTTGACCTTTAAATTGATACCAACTTTATGGTCATATGTACTCATATGTGGGAGTTACACTTAAATATTTACGGGTGTTTACGTACTGACAAGTGCAACTCTCGTCTACTGAATATTAGAAATATTTGTTGGCATCTAATCGGCCAAGAGGGTGCAAAATATCACGCAACTTGCCCAAGCTCCGAATATAGAATGTTAGATTTTCATGGAAGTTGTGTAAGGTATCATATGGTCGGCCATGTCCAACTATACTGCTCCGGTAACTGTTTTTATACCCTTCACCACAGTGTGGTACAGGGTATTATGTCTTTGTGCATATGTTTGTAACATGCAAAAATAATCGAGATAGACCCATGGTTCCTTTTGAGAATATGCATAGAATCACTTTCTGAATCGATTTATGCATGTCCGTCTGTCCGCCCGTCCGTCTGTCCATGTATTTTTGTTAACAAAGTACAGGTCGCATTTATGATCCGATTTGGATGAAATTTGGCACAGGTCACTTACTTGGCCCAAGGACGAACCCTATTGAAATTGGAAAAAATCGGTCCACGTTAAGCCATAGCTCCCATATAAGGGTACCCCCCAATTTTCGGTATTTTGAGGTTATTTAGCGCGTTTTTAACTGAATTTGCACAAAAAATTATAAATATGTCAAATAGTTTGGTACAATTTTGTATTTTGGGGGTTTTTCATTTTTTATTCGCTGAAATTTGGTACTTTGAGTTCTTATTGGGTAGCAAATCTCCCTACTAAAAATTATAAATATAGGTTCATTTTTTCGGCTAGTCCCCATATAAGGGTACCCCCGATTTTCGGGATTTTGAGGTTCTTGAGCTCGTTTTATAACTGAATTCTCTGAAATTTTGTACGTTGGGTTCTTATTGGTTATCAAATTACTCCACAAAAAATTATAAATATAGGTCCAGTTTTTCTGATAGTCCCCATATAAGGGTACCCCCATATTTTTCGTATTTTGGGGGTTCTGATCGTATTTTTCGACCGAATTGACTGTGATTTAGTACGCCGAGTTCTTATTAGGTAGCAAATCTCTCCACTATAAATTATAAATATATATAAGGGTACCCTCAATTTTCTGTATTTTGGGGTTCGTGAGCGCGTTTTTCAACCAAATTCTTTGTAATTTGGTTTTTTGTAGTCGTATATGGTAACAAACCTCCATCCCAAAAAGTATACATATTCGCCCCTTTTAGGGGTAGTCCACATGTAA